AATTAAGTACTAGTACAACATAAAAATTCTAATAAGTCCAGCTTTAAAGTCATCCCACAACTTGTTTGCTATTCCATCTCGTCATACATCCATTGCTCGAGTTTGGCTAGAACTATGATTATATGCTTCTCGTTCTTGTCCTCCTTGCACTCCATTGGCATTCTACTCCATGCAATGTGATGCATTATAGTTTCCTGCATCGGAAATTTCTAGCTAAATTACTCTACTACTAAAGAAACATAACGATAAACTGGAGTATTCTTCTTCTCATTATCATAACTGAACCACCAAGTACATATTTATAGGAAAACGTAGGAAAACCTAATAGCTAACCCTACCCCACTCTAACAAGGTAACTAATAACATACTCAACAAGACACAATAAACTAATACGAATATCCTAAATAATCATAATAATATGACAATTAAATAATAATAATACCCTAACGACTAAGCCCAACTGGGCACCAAGGCCCACGGGTGCTATAATGCACAAAACCTCCCCCATTTGAAGAACTTTGTCCCCGAAGTTCAGGCGACTTCTTAGCCCGGATCGATGAAAAAGAAGCTTCCACGCAACTTGTGATGGGCGATGGTGAGTTTGGAAGACGGCGCTCACGCTTGCGATACTTCCAATTCAATATGAGAAAATCAGCTGAAATATGATCCCGTCCAACACGAGCGCATACCTTCTCGATGGTAGATTTGGAGACGTCGAAGTGAGGAACCATCTAATGTTGATGGGCGACAGCAGGGGCGAGACGACCAGGGGTGCAATGGGACTTGGTCGCGACTGTTTGCTTCTAATGACGGCGACGGTAGGTGGGGCTACGACTTCCGGAGGTGGCCTTGGAGTGGGCAGCCAGGTCGGCGTTGCTTTTGTGGTGACGGTGGGGACACTCGAATGGGACCGAGCAGCTGTGCTGGTAGCGTGCGGCGCTTCGAATGGCGGCAACGGTATGATGAAGCTGGGTGCTGGCAGCTATATGGTGGTGGGGGCGACGAATGCGGTAGCTCTGTCACAGGTCGTCACGAGCCTTCCGCAACAAGACATGGCACTTTCGGTCAACCGGATCAACCGATTGAGGTCATCCCTGGAGAGCCATTTGGTGCTCATAGCCTCGTAACCAGGCTCTGATACCAATTGATGCATTATAGTTTCCCGCATCTGGAATTTCTAGCTAAATCACTCAACTCTTAAAGAAACATAACGATAAACTGGAATATTCTTCTTCTCATTATCATAACTGAACCACAAAGTACATATTCATAGGAAAAGCTAATGGCTAACCCTATCCCACTCTAACAAGGTAACTAATAACTTACTCAACAAGACACAATAAACTAATACGAATATCCTAAATAATCATAATAATATGACAATTAACTAATAATAATACCCTAATGACTAAGCCCAACTCGGCACCAAGGCCCATGGGTGCTATAATGCACCACAATGATTTTGATATTCTTCAAACAGGGCGTCGTCACTAGAGTGGATCCTAATGAAGTTATGTATAACACAACATGCAAGAACAATGTGTGATTGTTTCTTGAGATCAAAAGGATGCATATGCTTCAAAAATGGGCAATCTAGCCTTCAAAACCCCTAAACAACGCTTGATAACATTGCGTAGGGATGAATGATAATAGTTGAAAAGTTTCTTAAGCGTTTTTGGTCCACCTCCACGATCGATATCTTGAAAATGACGTGCTTCTTTTGTCTTATATGGCGCTAGAAACCCATGAATGTTTGCATATCCAGAATCAACAACATAATACTTACCTATAAGATATAAAAGTTCATTAGTCATATTAGATGTGTACAATAATTACTAAAATAAAAAGACAATCATTTCATACCTCGTGGTGGCATTGGAAAGTTTTTATATGGGTTGGAAATTATTTCAGCAAGAATTCTTGCATCGTTTGCTGTACCCTCCCATCCAGCCATCAAAAAGGTAACGAGCATATCAAAGGAACAAACAACCATTACATTCTAAGTAGTCGTCGTCTTCCGTCCTCGATATAGAATCTGCTCACCACTCGGAACCACTGCGTCAATATGAACTCCATCTATTTTTCTGATGCAATCCTAAATTCATAAGTGAGTAGATGTCATAATTAAAGTGCATTCAAATATTAATTCTCAATCATAAAGAGAATTGCTTACCTTGAAATACATATAATGTTTTGAACCAATTATTCTTTTAGGAACAATCATGTAGCACATCGAAAGCCTTCACAAATACATTAGCCTCCACCTCCATGTCATCTAATACATTCATGCATTCAATCATAATGTCAAGTTCCTTATCCTGTGAAGATACAACATGCATAGGTCCTCCAACAGAAGAGGCGGCCTCCTTGGCTTCACAACTCTCACTCTTCCTTTTGGAGTCTTCAGTCAAGCTGCTTATGGCATTCTCCACTGCATTAGTAAAGCCAGATCTAGCTGCTTTTCTCTTCTTTCCTTTACTCTATACTTTGAGCACCGTCTCCTTGGCACAACCAGAGACTCCATCCACATTTTCTTCATCATCAAGATCCACATATTTTGCTTTGCTAGGTCCACCACTACTATCTGAGACCTCGTGAGTAGAAGCAACAACATTCACACCAGACTTAGTTGTATCACTAAATAATATGCATAGGTTTCCATACTCTGGACATCCATGTTTCCTAATAGCCCATCATCTTGGATCGCTGCAAATGCAACATTCTAATAAGTTCTTCTTTCCTAATTACTACTTTCAATTCAATCATAATGACGAAAAATGCCAATTACCTCATTCCACACCTTCCACTGATCATCAGAGGCAACAATCCCTCCTGTTACAGCAGAGTAACTAATTCCAGTCTGACTGATTAAGTCCTTGAATTCCCGCTGTTTCCTCCTCATCAAATTAAATGTATTCTTCAACTGATCGGGGACATAGTTCTTGTTGAACTTAATCTTCAACTCATTTTGGATATTGGACCATCCCAATTTAGTTAAAGTTGTAGTATGTTTGTTTCCCTTCTTTACTTCTTCGAGCATCAAATTGAAATACTCCACGACCTTATCAGGCCAAACCTCGCTTCCCTCAAGTATGACACAATCACTATTGTTTTCGACATCATTATCACCCATTGCTTATCTCTACTACAATTCAATACGAGAGAAGAGATCACCAACAAATTGACATCAAACAAACAAAAGACTAGAACATATTCTACAATCAAAACAATATTCTACAACAAATAGTTTTGAATTGGCCAGCCACAAATCTACAAACATGACAGATCTTGGTCTGGCCAATTGTACAACCTCGCTATTTCCATTCAAACACAGAGCATAAGAAAAATATGACCACAATCATCCTAAAATCATCCTACAAATCAATCTATCAAATCCAGCATCACAAGAAAGCATCAATTATGTCGCTGAGGAAGAACAATTACCTGGAATGGTCTCTAGTAGGAGGAAGATGCGCCGGCTGGAGCTTCTCTGTTGGAGGAAGACAGGGCGCCGAGTATTGCTTCTACGTAGAACGAGTTGCTAGCAGGAGGAAGACGAGGCACCGGGTGGAGCTCCTCGGTTTAACACTCGTCGATGCTGCTTCCCATCTTGGATGCGGGCTCGTGGTTGTCTGGAGGGAGAGGAAGATGATGGCACCGTCTCTATTGCTGCTGCTTGAGTACTCGGATGCGGCGTCATTGCCTGGAGGGAGAGGAAGATGTTGGTGGCGGGGTGTCTGGGGGTAGGGAACGGCGGGGCTTGTGGTGGTCTCGGGGAGCGACGGGGCTGGCGGTAGAGCGAGAGGTCGAGCACGAGGTAGAAGGAAGTGGGAGGAGAGGTCGAAGTCTTCTCTTCTAGGGTTATGGTGTAAAAACGGCATCGTTTAGAAGCACGAAGGAAAAAGAAAAAAATGTACCCGTTGTGAATCGAATGTGTGTCCATTTTAATTAATGAAGTACGTTTTCCACTGGGAAACGGGGGATAACATATCCCCTTGTTTCCGGGAAATAAGTATTTATCATTTTTCAATAGCTTTCTCATTTATAATAATTGGTTTTTTTTAGCAAAAACGGAATGGACAAGTGAATACGTTTTTTGTCATTTGTTTCCTGATTTTCATTTTTTAAACAGAAAATGAAATGGGAAGTGAACAGGGCATTACCCGCACTTTCTAGTTTTTTTTACACATGAGATATGCTTCTGGTAAGAATATCGAAAATCTTTCATGATAAGCGCCAAAGACTCAAAAGATCAAGTACTAATTACTGATCAAATAGCATAATCACGTTCAGGGACAATAGAATATTTGAAAAATGCCTACCCTATAAATTCCTTCTCTCATTAGTAACAAAATTAAATGAGGCAAATCAGGCAATTATAAACCAGATAGTCCTAGGGAGGTAGGGACCACACAAACCTCTGAGTGTATGTCTAAACATCGATCATCTAATGTTAGTCTCTAAACATTGGCCCTCCAAATGAATCTGACTATATCCCTCTGAGAAGTTTACGAATGTCGACTTCAGAATGTCCTTCAAGTGTGACACAAAAGAGGTAGATGTTTTGAATCAAGAGTAGACCATCTCGAGCAACTAGCAGCATGGGTTATTAAGGCCTTACGTGTGGGCAATCACAAGATGCTAAACACCAATGGTGAGGTGCAGATGTTAATTTGCGAGCTTTGTCACCAAACTAGTAGCACAATGTCGGTAAGGATGATCAGCTGTGTTGACGTAGAGTTTGGAGCGATCAGGTGGTGAAGGAGACTAGGTTGGAGGCATTGTAAGGAGGGCCAGAAGTGGCGGAGGAAGAAGAAAAAGATTTGCAGACTAGAATTCTTCAACTTGGTGAGCGAATTGAGTAGTGAAGATGGTGGTCTGTGGCAGTAGTTGAGTACCCTTGAAACTATTGTATTGCGTGATTTCCAGATTGTTTCATAGTAAGCAAATGAGTTTGAAATTTATGTTATAATTGTATATAAAGTACATTAATCTCCACCACCAAATATAGACATTTTATTGCCCGAATTGATTTAAGATATAAGCCAACTCCACCATTTGAAGCAATGCAAATACTATTCCAGTCAAAAAATACTTAATGCCTTCATACTTAATACCTTCCTTAAAACTTTACTGTAAAAGTAGGTTTATTCAATACACTACTACATACACCATCATAGAATTAACAATCTACAACAACACTTTTATCTCCTTAAGTTTACCATCAACAACAACAGTGAAGTCGAGTTAGTCGAAAGACAGGTCCTATACGCTACGACCAAAAAGAAAATATGCACGAATCAAAACGAAGAAAAAAGTTATTGTATCTAACTCAAAAGATCACGTTGACCATGTTGACCCCCATTGATATCCACTGTCGCCATGATGTTGGCCGATGTACCATCTGTGTCATCCCCTGCGGTATGACTTCGGTGATGAATTCCATCATGGGTGTGACCATCGTCTTCTGAGTGCTCCTTGTGGTGCGGGTGATCAGATTTCCCATCATGCGCCTTCTTGTGCGCTTTTTTATGCCATTGCATCAATGCCTTTGATGTTTGCTCGTCGAAGATCGATCGTTTCATTGTCGAACCCATCTACAAAAAAATAAAAATGAACAAGATATCAGATAGTTATATCAATTATGAATATTTGAAATTATATTCGGGTAAATTTCAATTTGATTAGAACCTGAGTGACAAGGGCGTAAAGAGGGAGCGTGATGTAACTGCATAGAAATTGAGCTCCAATCCTGTTTATAAACTTCACATTTGTCAGACTATCATCAAGTTTAGCTTATCTATCCATCTCTCTATCATTGGCTAACTCTCTACCTATATATACATCAGCTGAATCATATTGAAAGATGGGTTTAGGCTTTTAATTGTTTGTTTTACCCGATAGTAACTCTGATCACTGGGATTACAAGGTGTTCGTGGAAGCAAGAATCCCACCCAAACTCGTACTGCACGACAATCAGGAAGGGTAAGAAACCCCCCCGATATGATTTTGAGCAAGGCTTCAATTCAAATCTTACCCATATCCAAAAGGAATAAGTGAGCTCAAGCGCATTCTGGAACAGAGTAAAGTGGATGAGGTAAAGGATCAACTGAGGCCAACTGAACCAAAAATGTCTGTCAGAGACCTGCACAAGGGGAATCCCTTGTACCACAGCATGCCTTTCTGTGATCTCAATCGCCATCTCCGTTATGATTGCTTGAAGCTTTGTTCCAACTGCCAATATCACCTTCACAACCGCCAAAATAGCCACAATCAATACCTTCTTCTAGTCACTCAAAGTTTTGGGTTCTACTTCGTTCATCATCATCATCATCAACAACTTAGTCTAGCAAAAGATTATAAGGAGAGAGGTCCTTACAAATACTGGAAGCAAAGAAAAGTAGAACATCACATGCCATCCTGAAGAAAAAAAAGGTGTTTGAAATGGTTAAGAAATGGAGAAGGAGTTGAAATGATGTGAAGTGACTGAATGAAAGAACTTTCACTGACCATGAACATTCAGAAGCATGAACAAAACCACAGAAGCCCATAGCAGTGGACTGCCACACAAACAAAAGTTTCAGTTTAGAACGGAAGAAATATTAGAAACCAAACCAAGAAGCTAATTTTACCAACCTGATTCCCACAACCACCTTGAAATCATCTTCCAGAGATCTCTTGATGTACTTTTGGAAATCGAACTTAGTCCCAGGTGCCAAATGAACCTGCACCAGATCAGTTTCACTCCATTGTTCAATGATTTCAACAACAAACATGTCTCAGCAAGTTTTTAAAACCTGCAATTCCTTCGATTTAACTCACAGAGATGAAGCCGTGACGCATTGTCAAGTAGTCAGCTCTGCTGACTGACCTAAAGAACTGCCTGAAGAAGCATACCTTCACAGCACAGCAAAACACCAGTTGATTTTATTTTTTTCTTCCACCATTGAAATTGTGCAGAAGTAGAAGTCCCCTTTTTGAATAAGTTCCTTACCACATAGAAGGATACTGGTGTTTTGGTCCAAAAGCTAGTGTGGGATTTAACAAAGGATGTCTCATGAGTAAGCCTGAATCTCGTTGGATCTGCGTGAATGATAATCAATTGAGGTGAATAAGTATCATATTTGATTGATGTATGTAAGCATCAAGTTCTTACAGAAGAAGAGTTTTTACCATTCAAATGTTCGTGCTCCTGTGCACCTATAGCTTCCCATTCCTTCCACCCACGAATCTAGCACACACAAAATTAACACCGAATTTTAGCTCCTACCCAAAAGCTAATTGTGAGAGCTCAAGAGCAAGGTTCTGTAATGGTTTAATTTAACCTTTAATCGCCCAAGCATCATGGTTATGGCGCTGTAGATAACATGGAAAACCGCCAGGAAAAATATGAATATGTGCAGTTGGTGAAGCCCATTCACTGAAATCATCGGCATTTTTCCCTGAATGAAACGTGGGGAAGGGCCAAAAGGAGCAAACTTTTTAAGAACCCAATTGAAAGTGTGAACGCAAATTTGGTTAATTGATGGATTAAGGCATCACATGTCCACAATGTATAGGTCCGCCATGCCCACTGAGCTCTCTCCGTTCAAACCAGAGCAGCTTCCGGTGATTCTCTGCGGCGGCAGCTGCGGCGACGGCACCCTCGGCACCTTCTTCGGATTCTCCGCCGCCGGCCTTTTCCGGGCTAGCAGTTTCGTGGCCGGCGGTGTGACTCAAGTCGCAGGGCAACATAGAGTTGGCATATCTGGAAGCCACGCAGATTTGGGCGATGTAATTTTGACTGAACGTCAGGGTCAGTGATATGAATCCCAAAACCATTAACTCTGTACGGAAAACATTAACCAAAAGATGCAACCTTTTTACCACAGATCATTGATCTTTCTTCTTTCCATTTAAACAAACCAAAATTTATTCGTTTACCTCCTTTGATTTTGGCTAGAGCTTCCACCAGGGCTTTCTTATGCCTCTCGTGAAACCACTGTGAATCAACACATTCGATTAGAAACAAGATCTACGGAGAAACATTTGAAATAGAGGGTTGATTAATCGTTAACATCATTGTTACCTCTTCAGTCAAATGGAGGAATTTTTCCAAGACGATGGAGATTACGATGATGGCAGCGCAAACAACTGCGACGGCCCACGTCGGCGTGGCGTCGAGCTCCCTCGGTCGGGCTTCTCCTGCTCCACCTCCTCCTTCCCCGCCTCCCCCCATCTATCTCTAAAGCTGCACCCAATTCCTACTTAACAAATATAAATAAGAAGACGTGGTTGTTCGGATTACAGAGGTTAGAATTTGTTCAGTTCTGGTGGTAAAAAAACAGAGTCTCTTTTGCTCTGTTACGCAATATGAAAATTGGAGGGCCAATAACAAAATGGAAAGAAGAAGAGAAAACAGAGCACAAGGAAGGAAAGTGGGAGAGAAAGGATCGTTCTTCTTCTTCTTTGCTATGCATTTTTTTCATCTGTGATTTATCGTAGACTAAAAATGGCAAAAAGATTTGGAAACAGAGGGAGAGGCAGAGAGGAAGAAGTTGGAGAAGGGACCGGCTGTCATTCAACGAAGCTATGTTCCCGTTCTCTTTCCCGCTTTCTCCATTACTGACACTTTGCGCCCAGCCCATGATACTGTTTTTTGGGCTTTTCACTCCAACTCTAAGCAACTAAGCAAGCCCAGCTGGCATGAAAATCTACATCACCATTTCATTTCATATATGCTTTTGGTAGAATCATTCCATTAGTAATTTAGTATTGAATTATTGATTATTATTTTGTTCTCTGGTTGGAATATCATTTTATGATAATTTTATGTGTGTATTCTTACACTACTAAATGATTCATTCATGACGCGTAAATTCCATAACAAATATAAATTTATTAAGTGGACGAGTAAAATACTACTGAGTTTCATAACAAACAAATGCATCGTAATAAAGAGTTTCTACTCGTGGTGCTATATAGTGTGATCTTATTTCATTAAGAATGAAAATAATAACTCATCAAAAATGGATCCACTAACTATCAAGTCGACTCATTAATCAATAGATCTAAAAGTTTAACTTACTTTTTCCCTATTTCATGCTAATCAATAGGTCTAAAATTTCTAAAAATCTAATGGTTGAGATTAAACTCGAGTTTTGAAAATACATAAACAAATAGATTAATTTTTATATATAAAACGAATTTATTTTCTTTATATGTCGAGAAATAATTTTTCGAATCACATATACATACAACTATGGTACATTTCATATCAACATGACTTGTTGCAAATTTACCATGATATAATTTACCATATAACCATGCTAAAGAATGTTTTTAAAAATATCAAAGTGGATATAATTTTTCATAATTAACGTGGATTTAATTTAGTAGAACATAATTAATTTGATTTTTATATAATTTTTAAAAATTTAAGTTAAAATGAATAAGGAATAGTCGTTAACCTTTTTAATCAAAATATGCTAATAGTCCTTAACAATTAACAATGAACTAGTAATTTTGGTTATAGATGCTGTATAATATAACGTTGAAACAATTGAAGAGTAATGAATTCTATTTCGAACGGATAAACACAATCATCGAACCTACAATAATCGGCTTACAAAAGAAAGGAACACACAAAATGAAGACACAGAGGAGAAAACAGGAAGTCGAACCATAGAAATTAAGAGGAAGTATAAGCTAATAACACTGATACAATAAATCCATTCCAGGATAATTATCAATTTATCATAAACGGTTACACAACTTGTTACTTAGTACAAAATGATTATCAAAGTTTAATTTTGCTAGTTCCAATAAAATACGTTTGGACGAATAACAAAATTGAAATTCCGTACATTTCCATCCAAAATTTTGTTAACTTTGTATATTCAGCCGTCCATGAACCAAAAATATGAATAAACAATTCATCTAACCATAAAGTTTAAGCAAACCATCCAATCCGGACTACAAGGCCGCTACGTTTTCGGAATCCGAATCAGCTACTAGGCCAGCAATGAGGACGAGGACGGGGCTCCACGGTCACCTCTCAGAAGAAGCTCTGGTTCACTGAAGACCAGTCCTACGAGGACGAGGATGGGAGCATCACTCGACTCTTAATATTAAAGTATTTAGGATTAAACATGTAATTTTTAATGTAACATGGGTAGTTTATGTAATTTGTAGTGTAGGTACTGTAGTAGTAATTTGGTCAAATGTATACAAGACAACTTTCACATTTATGAAAAAGTAGTAAATATAGATGAATATTCTCTTTCGCAATATCTGAATCTGCCATGGTATCAGAGCTACGCGCTCGTTCTTGATTTCTTCGTCGTTTCGTTTTTTTCTCTCTAGTTCTTCAAGTTTCAATTCAATGGCAGCAACTCAGCAAGGAGTTGGTCTGATTCCTCCGACGATCAATCTTGACGCCAATCATCCATCTTTCTAACTCGCACCGAATGCACCACAATAAAACTCCCAATTAAGGCCCAAGTATAAACCTTAACTAGGTGCAGTTGATAATGATGTATTTGCACATGTTTGCACCCTTAGTTCTTATCCATTTTTGACTCATAGTCGTGTATTTTTGGCCTATTTAGGGTTGTGCTACTTCGTCACATTTCAAGTCCCAGACGTCGAAGGGAAGGCTAGACACGAGTTTCGGGGCTTTTGGAGGTCATTCGGTCGAGCAGAGGACAAAGCACGGGCTGCACTAAAGAAAAGCACGGTCGTGTCTCAAACCGTGCTTTTTATGCCGAGGGTGTGTTTTTGGAGGCTGCTGAGAAGACCAAAACACGGGCACCACTGGAGTAAAACACGGCCGTGTTTTAGGCTGACACAGGCATGTTTTCAACACGTGGCGAGAACACGGACGGGCAAAAGAAAAACACGGCCGTGTCCTCGACCGTGTTTTGCCCAGAATCGGGCTTTTGAGGCAGATTCGAGCCAAAAGAGAGGAAATCGAGTTTCTGAGCAAAAAAACAGAGCTTTAGAGAGAGAAAGTGCGAAGAACAAACCCTAGGAGCTATTTGGAGTAGGGGTGTACATGGGTCGGTTGGTTCGGGTTTAACTATTTTAATCACCCGACCCATGCACTACGGTTTGGGAATTATCAAACCCAAACCCACGCAAAAATATTTAAACCCTACGGTTTGTTTCTAATTGGGTTGGGTCGGGTTGACAATATTTTTAAGTAAAAACCCAACCAAATATAAAATATATATAATTATTATACATCATAAAAATATTTTATAACTAATTAAAATTTCAAACGAATAAACCGAGGTGAAAGGTATCAAAATTCACAAATGTTATTTGAATTTTAATAAAATGTGATTTACTTCAACATATGTCTAGTTTTTTTCACGATATTTGTTGAAATAGGCTAAAAAGGTTATAAACAAACACATTCATAATATATTATTCTATTAAAATTGTACACAAGAAAAATGATTATGTGAATCATAACTATATTCAATTTATGCCTAAACTTGTAGTCGAAGAATGCATTAGATTAGGGAGACCATGATAGGAAAACATGGCGAAATATCTTAATTTTCTCATAAGTATGTCTATATAGGACATAAATATTTTTAGATACGAACTCATACTAATAGTTGGAACACGGGTTGGGTCGGGTTCTACGGGTTGTGTAATCCAAAATCCAAACCCAACCCAAAAGAGGCGGGTTGTACAAAAGAAAACCCTCACCCAACCCAAAACCTTCGTTTTAGCGATAAATACGGGTGGGTTGGATCGGGTTGGACGGGTGGGTCGGTTTGCGGGTGTGTTTGTTCACCCCTAATTTGGAGTGGATTTCTCACCATTGAAGCCCAGATTGAATACCCAGGAGTGAAGATTGACATCCCAGAGCAGATTACCCCCATCTTTATGAGTATGACTGCTCTGATTTCTGTTTTTTTCTCTCTCTCTCTCTCTCTCTATGGAGTAGAACCTTCTCTCACTTGGGTATGAAGAACCCTAGTTCCATGTGTTAGGAATCTTAATTGTAATGACTTTGGATTGATATACTGATTGATTTTAATTGATTGATGCATGATTCATTGAGTCAATTGAAGTCTGATCATCTTTTCTTGATTTCTACTGCAACCCGAGATAGATAGAATCTGATTAGGTTGTTAGTGTTTCATCAATCGGTAGTGGTAGATTGGTTATATGAGAGTTAATCAATTTACTGCTTTTTACTGGAATCTAATTCCAGTAGTGGAGTTCTGTGCTTATTGCCTCAGCAGTCTATCCCGGTGAAGGCTAGTCGCCTGCCGATTAGTCTGCCTAAGAGGGTTTGGCCAGCTTAAGAGATTCCTTGCTACTGTCGGATCTTCCACATTTTAATCAAAAGTTAATCAACCCAGGGTAATTACAACCTTGACCTAACTAAGGAGCTAGGGGGAGTCATTCCCGAGTGACTCTTCCCTTGCTAAAGAACTTTGAACCATTTCTTGCTTTCTTACTGCTTTTGCTTAAAATCACAATCACTTGACTTAGTTTGCTAGATAATAGATAATCACGGAGTAGGCAGTAGTTCTAGACCCCGGGTTGAAAAATAGAACTTGCCACTAGTCTGCATTTCCGTACTGCGATTACACTTGGTCGCAGTTTGGTGTTGTGTTTTAGCGTGTCAAGTTTTTGGCGCCGTTGCCGGGGAACTTCTAGGTTATTGTGGAAACGTGAAAGTTCATTACTTTAGCATTTTCTTTACTGCATTTTCTCTCTTCCACCTGTGTGCCTTCACGGGTTGCTTTTGCTGATTGCGTGCAGGTAGTGCATGACCCGTAACCAGTCGGGAGAGTTACTACCATTAGACCCAGAGTTTGAACGAACTTGTAGGAACTTCAAGCGGTCTTTAAAGGCGCGACTGGCTGCAGAGGAGGCTCTAGCACAGCTGCATATCACCAAGGAGGAAGAAATGGGCGAACCACAGAACAATGATGTGGTCATTCCCAAGGAGCAGACCATGGGGTATTACTGGACCGCCAGAGCCGCGGACATGAGGTCGCCCATCCAGCACCCTCAAGTTCCGGCAAATAACTTTTAGGTGAGCACCTCTGTCATCACCATGCTGCACGGCTCGGTGGTATTTCGTGGCAAGGAGGGGGAGTGCCCCCGATCACACCTGAGGCGATTCCACGAGCTCATCGATGGGATCAAGATAAATGGGGTCCCAGCCGATGCCATCCAGCTGAGGTACTTCCCATTTACTCTGGAGGGGCGAGCCAAGGAGTGGCTAGGCACTCGACCTCCATGCTCGATCACCACGTTCACCAACTGACTCACTCCTACTGTCACTCTAGAAAATGGCCAAGTGTAACCACTTCCTAAAGCGTAGTATAGCGGGTTTGGGTTTTAATGTCAACCCGGGTCCTAGATGTGATGACACTCAGTGAATTCTTATTATCTAGCGGTGAAACTTTAGTGCAGGTCCAAACTAACAAACAAGCAAAGCAAACAAAGAGGTTGTTTTCAAGTCAAGAGAGGTCACCCGGATATGGTTCCCCCTA